CTCTAGATTGATAAGGATCTAAAGTCCTCTTCATTGATCAGCCTGGCTTTTCTGGTAGAGGGGAGAAGGGATATCTTTATTTTTATAAAATTATCCCTGCTTTTGGGGAAATAAAGGAGAGGCTAGAGAGATTTCCTTGTTACATGTTTCTTGTTACATAGTTGCCTTCAATTAAAAATACTTCTGCAAAGCAGCATGTTTTAGGGTGCAAATTCTGCTGTCCTACAATACAGTGTTCTACTTTTGTTAGTCACATGACAAAATTTTGCTTTCTTTTCTAAGAGGTATTTATTTGTAAATTTTCTTTAATATAGTTTTGTCTATATTATGAAATTTCCTAGTAACTTTGGTGCAGAAAGATTATTTTAAATACTTATTTTTCTAACTCTTAACAACTATCCTGATTTTATAAATAATGTGCAGGGATTTTTTAAAAACAAGAATGCTATTTTCTTATAATTCTATTTTTTAAAATTCTATATCTGTGTGGCCAAATAATAAGTAAGCAAATAAACTTGCTTATGCTATTTTTGAGTTTACTACTTTTATTTGGCAAGAATGTTTCTTAAGTGTATCCCTTTAGATAACAGTGTACCTTCCTTTAGAATCCTTGCAATTACTCATTACATTAATAGTGCCACACATATCTGATTATCTGGCCCCTGGAGGCATTTTACTTTGCTGTAAATTATAAGATAGTAATTTAACTTCTTGTACCGTTGTCTGGATTTAAAAATACTAGTTATGTACAGTTAAAAGAATAAAGTCATTATATTGTTCATGTTATTTAGTACTTCTTTGTATGAGGGTTAGAAAGTAATCGTTTTTTGTGAATGAAGTCAATAGTTTAAGGAATTTTCAATTACAGTGGAGCAAAATATGTAATAGAAATTGAAAAGAAAGTATGAAATGATCAATATTTGTAGATTTCTACCTTTCAGATCTGCAAAGTAAAACTAATTTAACATATCATCAGTAATACTGGTAAGAATTGTTACTGCTTTTAGGTTGTAAACTGTGTCATTAAAAAGTTGATTTTGCTCACATAGTTAAATTTTGATTCAACCAATGTAAAAGTTGTATAAATTCTCTGGAATTTATGAGTTAAATATATATGTATATACAACATAAATTATATATTTTTATAAGAATAAATAGTGTTTATACTGGAAGTATATTTAAAAACTACTAACCTGTCAGATGTGTAAATATAAACACATTATTAGCATGGAAATCACTAGTTAGAAAATGTAATGGAACTCATTCCATGCATAAGAATAATAGAAGTGTAAAATGCTTAGAAATAAGGTTTTAAAGAAACTTATGGAACTTTTATAAAGAAATGCTGTGAAATTCCACTGAATGTTATGAAAAAGCCTTGAATAAATAAAAAAAAATCCTATACCTATTGGGATAGGAAGACTCACTATGCACTATGAATGTTTGTTAGGGCAGATAAAGTAGAGCTATACTTCTGGTTGCCACAAGAAGAGCAGAAAGTAAAGCCCAGGTGTTCTCAAAGTGTGATCTTTGGTAAATTACTTCCCATTTTGAACTGACATGTTGAAATTTTAAGGGTGGAACTATATATATTACAGTCTTCTCCTTTTAAAGATTTTTATGAAAAAAATAAAATTCCATAATCAAATAAGGATAACAATAGTTATTACATTGTGCATTGTTATCTTCAGAGTAGTTACTCAAAGTACAAGACTTAAACCAAAAAAGATTCTTACAAAAAAGAAACAAACAGATAACACAAAACTCTTGAATTTGCTTTCTGACCTTATGCCTTTTAATGGACTAACCTAGATTAAGTATCCAAATATGTTTTTTTGGTGCAGAGTAAGCCATACTGATCAAGTAAATTAGTTCAACCATTTTGGAAATCAATGTGGAGATTTCTCAAAAATCTGAAAATAGAAATTCTATTTCACCCAGCTATGCTTCTCCTTGGTATCTTCCCTGAAGAGCTAAAGTCATCCTACCACAACACAGTGGTGCCTCAGTTCATCAGTGCTTTTGTTTGAGAGCAGTTTGGTTTGCAAACAGAAACAAATGGCAGGATTTTGTTTTTGTTAGTGAACTCTGCATTGGGTGATGAACACAACCATAGCTATCTTTCCTGTACCAGCGTGGTCATCTTTTCCAGAACTGTGAAACGTATTAAGTTCATGAACTTAGGTATCACTGTGCGCTACATAAATAGCCATGTTTGTAGCAGCTCAACTCACAATAGCTAAATCACAGAAGCAGCCAGTATGCCCAGCAACAGATGAATGGATAAATAAAATGTGGTATTTACATACAGTGGAGTGCTACTCAGCCACAAATAAGGACAGTTACGAGTCATGTATAGGAAAATTGATGGCTTATGAAACTATAATCCTATGTAATATAAGTCAGTCACAAAAGTCAAATATCTCATAGTAACTCTCATATGAGAGAACTAAAATACAGCCTAACACATTCACAATGAGGTCATATATGTATGACTGTCCCATCAGTAGCTTGTATCGTTGGTAGTTCAAGTTGGTAGGAACATGTAAAGGGCAAAATAGGGAGCCATATTAAGAAATATGGAGGTGGCTCAGTAGAGGTGGGACAGGAATCTGGGAAAGAAGAGAGAGAAGGTGAGGGGGATTAGGGAGTAAAAACGATCAAAATGTGATATATATATATATATATATAGGTATCACCCCCCCCAAGGTAAATATAATCAGTATGTATCACAAACATGCTAGTTAAATAAACAAATAAATAAGATAAGTAGGTTGGAAATGCCCTCTGCTTTCTGGAAGAAACAAAAACTCAAGGACAAGAGAGGCATCGGTGTCCTAGACCTAAAATGATTCATACAATAATGTGGGATTTCTTTTATATACAGTGTTCAAGTCACATCCAGGTGTACATATATACACACAGTACTTAATTCAAGAAGTAGCAAAAAAAATCTTGAGATACTGGAATTATCAAAGAAAGCCATCGTGTTTATTCTTAAATTGAAATAATAAAAAGCAAAGATCAGTACATAATGATAGGAAATTGGAAACTAAAAATTGACAAGGCAGATTTGAAAAAGAACTAAGGAATTTATAATTGCAAAGTAAAATATCTGAAGTTCATACAGTTTGTAAACTAATATGTAGACATAGTTGAAGTGAACATAGTACGTCAGAAAATATGCATGAAAGGAAAAAATGAAAAATAATGAATGGAAAGAAAGGGTAAGAATGAAAACAGTGAAGAGATCTCATCTGCCTTTACTCCACTGAAAAAAGGAAAGACAGGCTAAAGGAACTATTTGACGGGTGGACAAATGGAGCAACAAAAAATAGTTCAAAAACAGGTCCATGAATACTTAATTTGGAACAAAGGTGGCATTGTAGAGTGATGTAGAATGGTTAATATTTTCAGTACAGTGGTCGTACAATTTAGTATTCACATAGGGAAAAATAGGGCTATTATAAATGAAAATCAATTACACGTAAATCTAGATGTGAAATGCAAAAAGCATTTTTCAAAAGATAAGACATCTTGATGTTGGTAGAAGGAGATTAAGAAGTCACAAAATTACTACAGTTATGGACTATGCTAAGCAAAAATTAGCATTAAAAAAATCATTCAAGGGGAAAATACTTGCAATATATCCAACAAACAACTTTTATGTAAAACAAATTGAGAACAAGACAAAGCTGTAAATTGGTGAAAAGACCGTTCCTGTAGTAGAGTGGACAGTTTTCCCATTTTAGCAACGATGGAACTCAAACATCAAAAGTCTTTAACCTTATTAATAGAGAACTTGATATTTAGTATGGCTTTACTTATAAAAATGAAGAATTATATGCAGTCTAAATGCCAATAATAGAATGCCATTTGGTCTTACTCATTATGTTAGTAGGTTTATAATGTATTAAAAAGTTTGCAGAGTATTACGTATCACCCCTTTTTGTTAAAGTTACATACACCTATATGAGTGTATGTGATGATATAGGTACAGAATAAAGTCTGAAATTCAGGAAGTACCTATACATGGTTGATGGTATCTTTTTTGTTTTACTTTTTTATATTTTCCATTGTTTCTAAATTGAGCATGTATTTTTTATTAAATACATACTTGTATGCAACGTATGTAATTGATCGAATTACCAAAAAATGGGAGTGTATACATTTATGCATTATGCGAGTTATTTTTCTATTTTTCATTAAAATTCTCATTAGGTGAATTATTCCCTAACATTAAACATGTGCTGATACATATAGGAGTAGCAGAAATTTTAAAAAATATATGTATTTGTTTCAGTTAAAGATGTAGTGCAGGACTGGGTGACTATTATCTTTCCATTTGCTTTTCACTTAAATTGGTCCTTTTTTTCTTTTAACTGCAATTAATCTTGCTTTCTCTTTTTAGTATTTCTTCTTTCCTATTTTCTATAATGCTTTTAGGATATTAAATGTCCTTAATATTTTCTTCCTTTATTTTTTTACAGCTTTGAATTTAGACATAGAGTTGAGAGCTTTTCAAAGGTACACTATAAAAACTTAAAAGCAAGATATAAAAATCTATTTGTTTTTAATCTGTAGGATCTTAAATTTCCTTAAGATTTGTTCTTACAATTTCTAGATTTTTTTCACTAAAAAAAGAGTTCTAAAGTAATGAACATGTTAATTTGCAAAATGACAAAAGGCACGTGGGTTTAACAAGGAAATACATTTTTTAGCTCTTGTTTTATATTTTTGTTTTCAGTTTGTGGGAGATATTTCACAAATTTCTAAAAATATGATATGCTTTGTTTTGTCACACCTAAGACACTTATATGCATTTTAAGTTCATTGTACTAATAAACCTATGTATATGTATGTGCTTTAATTTTATGATTACTTTTAGATTATTGTTCTTTTTTTGGAATTAAGGGTAAAAACTGTGAATCAACATGATGTACGGGAACATACACATAAATTACATACTATATAAAGATGTTGTTTTGAATTTCTTTTAGCAAACAAATGGAATCTTCTTGAGCATGTTTCTGATCGTTTTACCATTGGAATCCATGGCTCATGGACTCTTCCATGAGTTGGGAAACTGTTTAGGAGGAACATCTGTTGGATATGCTATTGTGATTCCCACCAACTTCTGCAGGTATTATGGTGTAGTATAGTTAGAAATAACTATTTGACTCAGTAACGTTTTAATATCTCTATAATATTTATGTGAATATAAAATACAGCTTTTTTAGAATTTCAATTTTTCAAAATTTAATGTTTGGTCACATTTCATTATCTCACACTTAGAAAACTTCATTTGCCTCTTCAAAAGTGTGGAAAATCTACATGAAATTGTAAACATTGCTACATTTTTATTTTTTATAGCTAATTATCTGTAAAACAGAAAAAATAGTTCTTGCTGCTAATAAATTCTGATGACTAAGTTTTCATCATATTTTTTATGTGAGGAATATTCTGAAATCAACATTTTTATCTAATTTCAAATATTTGACATAAATTCTCCAAACAAATTTGTTTTATTTTCCTCCATGTTAAAGGCTTGGTAAAAGTTGAAACTTCTTAGGAGAAATAAAAGAAAGAGACTTGGAAAGGTCTCAAAGTAAAACAGCAATTCTGCAGAAAGAGTACATGAAAGAATTGTATGCACAGTTAGATTTTTGTTCTGTTACAATTTTTGCTAATTGTGTATTTTATTTTCATGACTGTTAAATGTTACAAATATGAAACAAAACGTTTTATTTTAATGAAAATTGAGTGTTCTTAGAATAGTACTCATAGTACATGAGCCAACATTTAAAGTTTCAAAGTTCCTGATAGAAATTTGTTTTCTATACAAATGATGACTTTCCCCCTCAGCAATGATAGCATTTAGTTTCTGCTTATATAAAACATGATGTTGCATCTGTACTAGAGTACCATTTTAATCTGTTTCAGGATTACATCTGAGTCTTTCAGTTTGTGCTCAGAAGTATATGGCAATATATATAGGTATTAATAATTTTTTTAAAATCACACTTATTAATATGTAATCTCTTTCATCTTTTATGTGCCTTTAGTAAAGCTTGAATCACCTTTATAAAGATTTTCAACACAAATTAAATATGTAATTTAAAGTATTGCTTCCACATTTTGTGTGGTAAAATTTTTTTCTTGAAAATAAGTTATAGTTCTTCAAATATGTACTATGACTTCCTTTTAAAAGTCTTGTTTAATACCTGTCAAAGGCAAAAAAAAAAAAAAAAAAGAATTAGAAACAACAAGTAGTATTCTCTACATTTGGAGATACTCTCCTAGCTGTTAGTTTAGTTATTGCTTTATTGATAAGTACCAGTTTTAAAACATCAGGTTTTGATTTTCCAAGCTTAACTCTTAGTACTATACATATTTGAGGAAAGGTGATTCTTAAAATCCTTCCATTTAGAAATCAACTATGTATTATGATGCTTAATTATTAATGACCCATGAGGATATTACATAGAATAGTAATTTTAAAATACCAAAATAATAGTTTTTCTTCTTCTTCAGTCCTGATGGTCAGCCAACACTACTTCCACCAGAACATGTGCAGGAATTAAATTTGAGGTCTACCGGCATGCTCAATGCTATCCAAAGATTTTTTGCATATCATATGATTGAAACCTACGGATGTGACTATTCGACAAGTGGACTGTCTTTTGATACTCTACATTCCAAACTGAAAGCTTTCCTTGAACTTCGGACTGTGGATGGACCTAGACATGATACATATGTTTTGTATTACAGTGGGCATACCCATGGCTCAGGAGAGTGGGCTCTAGCAGGTAATTCACCTTTGGCAATTTCACTATTGTGAAGATACACATATTTGTAGAAATCTTTTCTGTGTACAGACATTAAATTTTCCAAATTATTACTTTATGGTTCCCAAGAACATGTAAGACCTTTTTTCTTTACCATACCTATATAGTATAATTCTAATAATAAGGTTTTGGGGATTATGTTTTTATAGTAATTGGAAAAAAATCGACTTAAGACTTATAATCAGTTTCCTTTTAAAGTATTTTCAGAATTATTAAATTCAAATTTTTTAGAAGCTGCTAAACTTCTTTGACTTAGTATGTAAGTCTTTTAATGTTATAAGATGCATATTTCAGTAGTCCTTCTCACCTATAGTTTTATTTACATTAGAGAGCTCACTAAAAATGTTTTTGGAGACATGACAGGGTCTTGCTATATAATCCAAGCTGACCACCAACTCATTTTTTTGCTACCTCAGACTCCTGCATGCTGGGATTACAGGCAGTGCCACCATGCCCAGCTCATTACCAAAAGTTTAAACTGTAGGTATTATTATATAGTGGGAGTAATGCAAGTCATAAGAGCATGGCTTCTGTTCTCATTGCTTCAACAGTGTTATTTTAGGCAAGATGCCTCTTTTTAGTTTTGTCCTCTATAAAATGAATGGGAAATGTGGAAGGATCATTGAATTTCATTTTAAGACATAAATTGTGCAGTGTTACTTTGGATTTTTAAAATGCTTTTAATCTGTTGAAAAAAACATAAAATAACCTAGGTTTGTATACATTATGGGAATAAAGAAAACCCTTTTACCACCAAGAAAGAAAAGAAGTGAGGTCTTTCTTTATAATACTGTGTATAAATTTATCAATCCTCTCAACTGCAGTACAGACTCCGTAAGTCAAGGACTTTGTTTTATGAATTATTATGTAGAACAGAGTCTGGAACATAGATGGCATCCTTAAATTATTTATAGGTAGATGAAATCATTGAATAAATCATGAAAAAAGTAACATAATTATGTTATATTAGAAATAGTGTATTTATATTGTTATATCCTGCCTTTTCTAGAGAAGAGTTTAGATGTTTTAAACCAAAAATACACAATAATAATAAAATAGTCATAAACTTTAAATAGAAATGTATTTTCAGATCAAAGAAACATAAGTATGAAAAGAACAAAGGCAGCATAAGAACTCCAGAAGGAAACAAACTCAAGGTTAAAGCAGAGATGACTTTAAACCAGCATGACCTTACTGATTTCATACCAACTCTGTAACTAGGATTATGTCATAAAAAAGGTATTTTTTTCTGAAAGTTATTCCAAAAGTTTTATCATATATGACCTATTTTTAAAATAAATATTGAATAATTCAAGAGCTGATTAGAAGTAATAGTCCAATATTTACTAGGCACATTTTAAGCCTCAGATACTGTGCTTAGTACTTTATAAACAATTTTAGATGTAATATTTATATGAAATCTTTTGAAATAGATGCCATCATTTCTATTGTTTTCATTTTTCAAAGAATAAAATGGAGCTGAAAATGGTTATGTAACATAACTATCTGTGGACATATTACTAAGTGGCAGAACCGTGAGTGGTAGAGCTGTAACTCGAGCTTTGTTTGGCTTGACTCTTGCAGTTCATTTTCCCCCTCTATTCATGTTGCCACCAAGCATGAACTCCATGATGACAGAGAAATGGCAGGATCTGGTGACATATGTTTGTTAGCACAGATCACCTGTTTTCAAAAAAGTAGAAAGAACAAGGTGCTCAACATATACATGAATATAGTTTAAAAATAATTTATTTTCAGTCACAATGTAGAAAATTTTAAACTTTATGGCTCCTTCAATTCCAGGTAAAATAGAATGTTGTACTAGGTCCTTTAACTCAGAACGCAGAGGAAAAATTTCTAGTCAATTAAAAATTTTCCAGAAATAAAACTTCATTCCTAAATCCAGAGACTGCTTATTGAAAATTTACTACAAAAATTATAATAAAAACTTCCCAAATCAGATGAGGGGAAAAAGGCATGATTTTGGTGTTTAAAACGTACGGCTTTGCAAATAAATTCTAGGCATCAAGCTTACTAGTTAGTATTTATATCCACTTTTTTTTCTCCTAGGAAAACAAAGACATGAGGATAAATAACATATAAATCTGGGTATGATGGTACATGCTTGTAATCTCAGTACTTGGGAAGCTGAGACAGGAGGATCACCAGTTCAAGGCAGTCTGAGTTACATAGCAAATTTGAGGGGAGCCTAGACTACTTAGTGAAACTCTGTGTTAAAAAAAAAAACAAAGTATATAAATTGATGTTTTTAAATTTTCATTGACTATGAAGTAGAAATAATTTATGAAGACCTACCTCTATACAAAGTGTTGTAAATTTAGTAAATATCAGTCACGTTCTTTGATGACAGTTTTAGAAGTATACTACAAATAAATTGACCACTACAGAATTTCTTTATTAGCCAAAAAAATTCACCTCAGTGTAACTTTCTTAGTTTATTACAAAAAATAAAAGATGATAATAGGAGGAGGTATCCTATAATTTAGCAACTGTATATTGTCTTGTGTGGCCTGTAGCACCTGGCTTTATTCCAAACTAAGTGACAGCTGAAGCACTGATAATTTAATACTTACCTTCATAGTCACTTTGGAAGTAGAGAAGCTACTGGCTTTTACTTAGGTTAACAAATTAGCAGTAGGTCTAGAACTGAATATTGCTGTGGAAAATGAGAATATGTATTTGTCTATTACCCACATTTTACTCACAATCTTTCTCAAAATATATAATTTTACATGTATGGAGTTCTATTGTATGTGACCTGATTTTTTGCTTCTTTATGATAAAAGAAAATTATGGTAAGTAGAAGAGAAGCACAAATAAATGGAAAAAATGTAGATAACTTATAAAGTTCTTTATCATAATGAAGTCTTTTAAAAAGCAGTCTCAATTATTTAAAATGCATCAGATGGCTGTTATCTGAGATAAATATAAGTACTTTGTATCTGGACCCAGAGCCAAACACAGTGTACAATCTATTCAAACAAGAATGCAGAGCAAGACAAAAAAAGAGTACAAAGATAATTTAAAAGACTTTAATGCTGCTATACAGGTATCTAAAGAGCATTTATATAAGTGAATGAGGGTAGAATATGCTAAGGAATATTGAAGTAGTTATGAGTCATGTTAAGCATTGTTATTTTGTGATGGATGGAATTTGTGTAACAGCTTTTATAATCTGTGTCATCTTCTGATCTCTAGAAAAACATCATAGGTCTAGCAATAGTGTAGGTCAACATTTGGCCATGCCTGAAAAAGTGTGATCTTCTGGAGGTGCTGGTGAAGTGACGCATTAGTGACCTATGGGGACTGGGTGCTGATTAGCACCTCTGAGACAGTGTGCATGAGCAGCACTGCAACTCATAAAACACAAGCTTCACTGTCTGGTTTTGATTAGCAGGCTGATGATTAAAGGATTATTAATTAATTGTGTATATAGATTATGATTTAGCCTGGCTTCTAATGTCATATCACTAATACCATCCAAATGACAAAAATTTTTTCCTGCTCTCTGGTTTTGATACGTAAGCAGAAAAGATGTTGTTCTTGGTGGAAACATGTAGCATTCTGAAGTTAGGTTATTAGATTTTGTGCTAGTGAATTAAAACTTTTTCTAATTTTAAAGGTAATATATGTTCAGTGTAAAAATTTTGGAAAATTAGATGAATATTTTTAAATCCAACAACTACAGCTATGATATTTTTATAGACACATTTCTATTTGTGCATTTTTCCTACATGTATACACATATTCTTCTCAATTTTTTTTGTTTTGTTTTTTGAGACAGAGTCTTGCTATGTAATTCAAATTGATCTGGAACTCACTCATAGCTCAGGCTGGCCTTGAACTCATAGTGATCCTCTGTCTTAGGCATGTACCACTATACCCTGTTTGCGCTACATTTTTAAAAATAATAGTTATTTTATGATAAGATATCTAAGATCATACCATAATTTATTTCCATTTTCCCCATTTCAGATTTGATACCTCCTTGGATACAAAGGAAAAAAATCTCTATAGGCAATTGTTTTGTTTCCGCTTCTGTTCTTTCCTTAATATAAATCCCTAGAATTGGATGATTATGTCTCTGTAACGCTGAAAACAAGGCTAGAACCAGGGTGAGGAAAGGGTGACTGTTACCATTGGCACAAAACTGAAGAGAGTGACAAAAAAACTCCTGTCATTAAAACAGATAATTTTCATATCCTTATGAGACAGCATCTCATTGTGTATTCCAGGCAAACTTTGAACTCACTATGTAGCTAGCCTAGGCTGGCTCCAAACTCACAGCAATTTTTCTGCCTATATGTCCTGATTGCTGGGATTACAGGCACATGCCATCATTGCAAGGCTGAAATAAATAACATACTTAAAAGTTAAAATTAATGCAGAAAAACACAATCCACAATGAGCCATATATAATATCAACTAGCTGTGAAACAGGTTTCCAGGTTAGAAATGTATGTACTTTAAGACTGGGAATGTGGTTTGGTGGTACAGCCATGGATTCCACCCCCTGCACACATCCCCCTCCCCAACATGCACATGAAGAATTAGAATGTGTTCAGACTTCTCTAAAGTTAGTGTTTAGACTTTAAAATTTTTTTCATTCTTCAGATACAGAGCTAATATAAATATAATTCCATTATTAAACTCTTGTTATAAGAAGTTTTTTCTCCTTAGGCACTTAGTAGATACCAACTTCTGAAGATAAGAAAATACTTTTTTATCAGTGTTACAGTGCAGAGGCAGTAAACTTTCTGCATAGAGCTAGATATTTTTGGCATTTTAAATTTTGGATTGTACAATCCATTGCCACTGCTTAGTTTTGGCATTGTAGAGCAAAAGCCACCTTACTGAGAATGTAAATAATGTGGTTATATTCTATGTGCTTTTTTTTTTTTTTTCCATTTTTTAATCAGTATGGGGATTGAATTCACAACCACGCGCTTGCAAGGCGGGCATTATGCCGCTGAGCTAGATCCCCATCCCCAGTGTGGTTATATTCTAATAAAACATTATTTATAGAAATATGTGAAATTTAAATATTTTGTAATCTTTATGTCACAAAATATTCTTTTGGTTTGCTTTAAACTATGTAAAAATGTAGAATCAATTCTTAGCTGTTAGGTTCCATAAAAATAGATGGCAGGTTGGATTTGATCTATAAGCTGTAGTTTGCTAGCTCAGCAAAGAATATTAGCTTTCTGTGTAATTTTAATTTAGCTTCAGAGTGGTGCAAAAGCCATATGTAGTCAGTAGAAAACATACTTTGAATTTGAATTTTGTTCTTTTCCTGGGCTAGCAGTGTGCAATGCAATAATCTCTAGAGAACCCAGGCAGGGTGGGTGAGCTTTAGGTCCCAATGAGCCTCCCAAACCTGAAAGTAAACATCTGCTGTCCTACAGGGTGCAGTGGTGAGTGCATTGGTAGGTGAGAGGTCCACTAAATGTATAACCAACATACAGTATTTTCAACTGAGGATGAGTTTATTGGAATGTAAATTCACTGTAAAGCATAAGTATGTAAAACATTTTTCTTAAATTCATGGTATATTACTTTTTTATGTAGTACGGATGGTTTTATAAACTTGAAAATGAAAATCTGTCTTTAAAAATACCTTCTGCAAAGAAAATTTAAAAGTTATCTGTCAAGTACTTTTCAGCTTTTGTTTGCTTATGTGTTTAGTGATAATTTTAGTTTTTAAGTTTATTTTTATTTTAAAGAGAAAAAGATAAAAACAGTTTCAAATAGGTTAATAGAGAGTTCTAAGAGTTTTAAAGAAAATAACTTTGGAGAAAATTTTTTAATCAGAGACTTCTCTACTCAACTTTTTCTTGTCCACAGGTGGAGATATACTACGCCTTGACACCCTATTAGAATGGTGGAGAGAAAAGAATGGTTCATTCTGTTCCCGGCTTATTATCATATTAGATACTGAGAATTCGACTCCTTGGGTCAAAGAAGTGAGAAGGGTTAATGATCAGTATATTGCAGTGCAAGGAGCAGAAATGCCAAAGACAGTAGATATTGAAGAAGCCGACCCACCACAGCTGGGTGACTTTACAAAGGATTGGGTTGAATACAACTGCAATTCTAGTAATAACATCTGCTGGACTGAAAAGGGACGCACAGTGAAAGCAGTGTATGGTGTGTCAAAACGCTGGAGTGACTATACTCTGCACTTGCCAACAGGAAGTGATGTGGCCAAGCACTGGATGTTACACTTTCCTCGTATTACATATCCACTTGTGCATTTAGCAAATTGGTTATGTGGTCTGAACCTTTTTTGGATTTGCAAGACTTGTTTTAGGTGCTTAAAAAGATTAAAAATGAGTTGGTTTCTTCCTACTGTGCTGGACACAGGACAAGGTTTTAAACTTGTCAAATCTTAATTTGGGCCCTTAAGAGGGTATTATTGTGAGTTCACATTACCAGTTATCACTAACTTGCCATGTTTTTGTATGCTGTATTTTTATTTGTGGAAAATATCTTGCTACTACTGTAGCTGCTCTCACTTTATATTTTCTCAAGTAATTATTGGATTTTGGAGGTGTTGGGAATAAGCATTATTTTATATTAAAAGTATGCAAGACTATGTAAATGCATAAGAGATGTTAAAAATAACAGTGCACTTTTCAGAAATGTTCACATTTGCCTCTAATTAGAAAACAGTTGTCTGCATCCTACAGTGGCCAGTGAAGAATTACTAATGCCTTGTTTTTAGGCATACATCAGAGATTGTAGATCTGATAGATTTGTTTACTGTTTTAAAACTACCAGTTTACTAACAAATTTCTTTTTTGAGGACAGTTAGTCTTGAGTCCAAGGCCATTTGAAGAACTATAAACATTTCTTAAGGAAGAGGTCTACCCAAAATAAATGCAAAATTTGCTTATGCTTAGTCATATTTGGGTATTTTGGTTGTGAACTGTTACCACTATAGCAGAGAAGCTCAAATTCCCTTTTAGATCAAAACATTCTTCATGTAGCTAATCATATGAAGCTGGAGCCAACCAGTTGTTCCTTCATGCATAGTAAAGGCTCTGAAAGCACTGCTAATTTTAAGAGTTTTTCTCAGGGTAACAATGTTTTCTTAATGAACAGTGTTTCAAGCTACAAATTTCTGCAAATAAATTGTCTTTTCAAAAAGTAGTCTTATAAAAGAAATTTAGCATTTTCTCATTGTCTAATTCAGTCTTTAAGTATTCAAAAAACATTTTCAGCTCTCTGGTGTTAATAGGAAAATTATTTTTAAAATTCCCATTTGTGGTAACATTTTTTTTTCTATTGAAGTTAAAAAGATAGGAAACAAGTCATGTTTCCTTGTATGCATGCATTATGTAAAATTCATGTTTGCAGTTCTAGTTTTTAAAACTTAGTGTTTTATCTTAGTAAAACAGGCAGTATGATCAGGCTATCTCCTCTAAGAGGTAACTTATTTCATATTCCCTTCCAGTGATCCTTGCATTCTATATTTCCATCTTTTAGAAATATCAAGAGAGAAATATAATTAAATTGGGAGATAATCTAATCTTTGTTTCTTAGTGACTTTTCACCATTGAAGCCATTTTTCCCAACTCAGAGAGAAGAAATAATGCCTCTACTATTCTCTACTGGTGACTTAACTGGTTTAGTTAGGAATAAGTCACTCAGTGTCTGGGAACTTGTAAACCATGATCTATGCAGCATTGTTATGATTATTTCTGTGTTTCCAGTATGATTTTCTTTAAAACTTTGAATAAATTTTGTTAAAAAATAATTTTTCACTTAATGTGCAATGAATAGTTACTGAATGTTTTAGCATATTAAAAGTAATAGTTATAAAACATGACCATGTTTTAAATTTCATGTTTGGTGGCAGGTTGTTTTGAAATTTTTCAGTGTTTGATTAAAGTCTACTAGCACCATAAACAAAATAGTATAATACTTCACTGTTCAGAAATGATATAATAGAAAAGCCACATATTAAAAGCATTAACTTATAGTATCAAAAAGTTAATGTTTAATAAAATCTCCTTTTTGATTTCTTAACCAATGGGCATCAAATTAGCTCTAACTAAAGCATATTTGTTCACTATGAGAAATCCAAATAAAAATAGAAGTATATTTTACATTCTTTGTAATGTATTATTGTTAGTACTAAAAATTAAAAGATAACAATTTTACTCACTCCCCAATTTTTTTTTTTTTAATATATGTACTATCTGTTATCATGATCTGTGAAAAAACAACCAAAACAGGCCTTTGGGCTGAAAATGTGATAAGCCAACTTACTTACTAAAAGCTACAGAATAAGTACTTTGATGAATTTTCCTTCCCAAAAAAGAACTATAGATGACTCTTTAGGATGGTGAAGTTGCCAATTTCTTTCTTTCTTTTTTTTTTTTTTTTTGGTCTTTTTCCTTTTTATTGGTACTGGGGATCGAACTCACGACTGCCTGCTTGTAAGGCAGGCACTTATGCCGCTGAGCTAAATCCCAGCCCGAAGTTGCCAATTTCAAAACATTACTAATGTAGTATAGAGACATTTTATTAAAAGGATAAAGTGGTGTTGTTAATTAAAATTTTTGAGAAATTTTAACAGTTATTCTTTCTTTCCTTATTTTTGTATTGAGGATCAAACTGATGGCCTTGCACTTGCAAAGCAGGCACTTGTGCCGCAGAGCTAAAACCCCAGCCCCCAATTTGTTTTTGTACCGGAGATTGAACTCCTGACCATGTGCTTGCAAAGCAAGCGCTTATGCTGCTGAGCCAAATCCCTGGCCCTCCAGCCCCAAAATTTTAACATTTAGACTAATTTGCTGATGGTTGTCATTTTGTGTTACATATATTTATGAAGCAGTTACTTGAATTGTTTCAGGGATACTTCTCCATTCTACTAAGAAGAAAGAAACAACATAGAAATATTTTTCAGTGTAATCTTATCTTAATATTTTTTTCCTTATATGATATTTTGCTAAAAATCACAAAAACACTGTCCCCTGAAATCGTCTTTTTAAAGTGTACATCATTGTGCTTTACTAATTTATCAAATACGCTATCCCCAGTAGCTTTTTAGTTCTGTTGTCATTTCATTCAAAAAAATTTTAGTTTGGTTTGATCTACTATCTTGCTCTTAATAAATTTAAAATTCTGCAGGAAAGACTTTTTAAATAAATTTTTAATCTGATTTCATAAGCTCCACACTTTAAAATGCATTTATATATAATGTAATCTTCTTTAGAATCTGTTTTGTTTCTAATTTTTGACATATAGATTTGCTGTTTAGGGTACTTCTTTTTTATATATTGTATATTCTTTCACATTTAGTGCCTAGTCTCTTTGGAGATAATATTCTACATTACCTTTCTACAGGTGATGTGGTAGTTAATATTAAATGTACCAGAAGAAAATGTTAAACTATGTGATTTTTTGAGAGCAACTGGGCAAACAAATTTGGTCTGTCAGTGCTTGTGAATATCTCTACTACTCTATTATCTCTTGTTGGTAGAGGTTAACACATTTTGTTATTTCTGCACATGGTTATCCAGAAGAATGCCTTGCACACAAAGAAAATGTTCAATAAGTATCTTTGACCAAGTAAGTGAATTAAGAATCCTAAGAAATTATAATAACTTGATTTTCTTGATGACATTCTTTTTATGGATAGTATTTCAAGATTATCATTAAGCAACTAAAAGGAAAATGTATCTCATATTTAAAGTTAAAAGAGTAATAAGTATTCAGATTAGGTAAGGAAAATTTGTGTTGCACTGACTTACATGAAAACACAGCTAATGTCACACATCAAAAATATAAAACAAAAACATTCATGCTTGTGGTTGGAATCCCTGTCCATTATATTTCCAATATGATTTAGTCTCATTCTGTTGTAGTCAAGGTTTGCAAGGAAATAGATTCAGTACAGGACACATAATTTATAGTATAATATTATAATATTCACCCAAAAGTTCAATGTAGAAGAGCACGACAAGATTTGTCCACACACTGGAGGCCCAAAAAATCCAGCTGAAGGCCTTGGTCCCACGGCAATGTCCTGCGTGAGTCTACCTAGGGGCCTAGAGCACACAACAATGTGTCAAGCAAGTCTGTATCAAGGCTCTCTAGTGTGAAAGCCCAAAGGCCAGTGGAGGAGGCTAGAAAGTCTACAACAGCTTGATGAAGGAAAGGATCTGCACTGGAGCTAGGAAGCAACACTCTAGGACCAGAGCTCCCCTAAAGAACTGCAGCCATCTTCAGCAACACCGAGGACCCAAGCTCCTGTGATGACAACAGCTGAGTTCATATTAGGAAAACCAGCGTGACAAGCTTCTCCTTGAGAATCAACAGCAGCATGCCCTTCCCCTCCAGTTCTCTTTTTATGCAGTTGGCAACAATCTTCCGGTGGGCCTTCCACATCCAGAAGCATGCTGATTCAGTTCAACTGGATGTGACAAGTTGATAACTCTTTAATCCTCGACATACTCATTTCATGTATTTTTGAGATTTACCACCAAGGGCTTAACATAGATTAAAATATTGTAAAGGCTAAACAGTAGACCGATTCACAACAGATTAAAGCCAAGCTAGGGAACCTTTTTAAGTATCTCATTTTCAGAGTATCTGCTCTATTCTCTAGCTGCAGTATGAAACACTAAACAGTATAAATCAAGGAACATGATGTTGATAAAGTCATCTAAATTTGTCTTAATAGGAAATACTGTTAGCCCAAATTAGAGTCACAATTGAAAATTGTGGGCTCACCAGCAAGTGTTTGGGTCTTTTTTATATTAGTATCCAACAAAACATTTTGATTGATTTAAAAAGTCAAGTTGACCGATTATTTTGTGTGATGACCTCACAGTATAAGTTTACCTTTTTTTTTTTTATCAGTACTGGGGATTGAACTCGACCACGTACTTGCAAGGCAGGCGCTTATGCTGCTGAGCTAAATCCCCAGCCCCACAGTATAAGTTTAAACTTAAAAACATGAAAACTTAGAAGATGTGGATAATTTTAATAAATTTTATTGAGCAGTCTTATCCTAAGATGCTGATTTATTCCAAGTTAAAGATTTTTAGCAGTGTGCAGAGTTAAGTGAGGAATGTGCTATCTCTTTAGATCAACAATATTTTACATTAAAATAGTTACCAACATATGGAGCAAAATTTGCATGTTTTAAATATAAACTATAATAATCTCGTAGCAGATCATTTGTTTTATCATCTTAGCCACAAAACATTGAAGACTTCAGAAACAATGTTGGATTTAATTATACTCTATATGGGACATTTTTCTTAAAGCTTTTGTCTTATGGATTAGAATGCAGACAGCACTATGAGTTTTCACTAAGCATTTTGCTATATATACATATATATATATATTATATCTATATATACAATTTCAGATGTATGCCATTTTATTGCAGTTTTATAGTGGCTATTTCTAGGTTCTTGGAAATGGTTACAGTTTTTTCTTGATAAGTATTGGTAAGGAAAATGGGGTAGGTGTTAGTTTTGGCACAGTGAAAGAGAAAAATACAAAGTAAAAAAAAAAAAGTTAAAAAGTGGCCTTTATTTTAAAGACGTGGAGAGGAGTCTATGGCCATGGACGACCTAGCTTCCTCTGACCGGAACATGGGTACAGGATATACATATAACCTCTGACTGGGGGTTGGTGCTTAGGGTAGGCACTGATGATGCATGAAAAGCTGATGGGAACTTTTTTCATGTGCACTGGGAAAGGAAAAAGGAAGTTGTAATAGGGGAAGGAGGAAGTGACCTCCAGGTAAATAAACATCCCTTGATTCTGCTTCCCACTGCCATAATATCATGTAACTTATTCTAGGGCAAAACTCTTTAATTCCTGTTTCTTTAGTGCCAGGAAAAGGGTGAAGTCTCTCTCTTACTACTTCCTACTGAAAGGTGGAGGGCACTGTATTGGGATTTAGGAAGATTGATGGAATGATGGTTGATGCCCATGTAGAAGCTGGTACCAGGTGTTTCAGCCAGGACAACTTTATCATTGGTGAATGCCTGCATCCTAGATTGAAAAAAACAAAGGGACAAGATGCTATGAGGAAGCAGGCCACTATCATATGTAAATACCCAGGAGAGGTAGAAGGAAAGGTGTCTTTGATTTAAATATGCCATTTCATCAGAGCCATGGTGAGGTAGAATCTGAAAAATAAGTGTGGGGTTAGGAGGAGTGAAGTTGTGAGAGGTGATTATTCCCCATGTGAAAGGGTAAAAATTAAAAGTGTAGGTAGGTAGGGCTCATCTTTGGTCCAGGAGTTGAGCTGGAAATAAGCATGAGAAATATAAGGCCTGATGATTGAATCATATTTGGGAAATTACGGAGTAGGGGTGGAGAGGGCCATGGCTGTGTCACTATAAGGGAGATAAGAGCCTAGGCCCACAGGGATCTCATGTTTAACTCAACAGCTGAGTGTAGAGAGAACATGAAGACAATTTTAAGACATGTGGGAGTCTTTAGGAAAAACTCTCAAGAGTCCTGCTGTAAAAAAATAATTAATAGAATGCAAGGGATTTGGAACCAAACTGGATAACAAAATATGACTTAGCCTGAGAGTTGTGGCTGTGAGGCCTTGGTAAGACAGTGACAGGTGAGAGATAGATGAGATGACCACTCAGGATGGTTAGACTTAGGGTTGGTAGGGCACCACTTAGCTTGAGTGATGCAGAACCAGGATGGGAGTCCAGCAACTTTGACTACAGTTGGGGTTGCCAAGAAGACCAGGTAGGAGCTGCTCAACCTTGATTGTAGTCCTTGGGATGATTTTCTGTAACAGGACTTTAGTAATGACATCAGCAGTCTCCCTCATTGTGGGAA